GAGGCAGGAGTGGGGTTCTAAGTCCCTGACTAATCTAGAGAGCCTGTGGCCATACTCTGGGCTGCAGTCACAAGGAAATTCAGCCACTCTGACACTCCATTCCCTCGCCACATCACCCTCCCCAACCCACCTTCCAGGATGTCCACCTCCATCTTCTCCCCTCCAGTCCCTCTGCAGAAGAGCTGTCATGAGATTTATTTATAGAATGCGGGTGCTGGTGTTACTTTGCATCTTTCTCACTGGGCATCACTGGTCTGTTTTCTTAGAGATTCAGTCTCAAGATCTGCCCTCAAAATCCAAAATAACCCACAAATAAAGAAATATTTGATATGTATCATAAAAAACTGTGGACAATAACCCTGTTGCAAAACTAGTTTTCAACACAAAAGCACATTTTTAAATGCTTCTCAACAATGAAAGATGTCCTGAAATATTACCTAACTGTAATTTCACTTTTTCATTAGAAGAAAAATATTTATTAATGTTTCAAAATTTACAAAAATTTATCTGAGATAATTTCCCCCGAAACATCACGGTGCCATTTACAAGAACTAGAAAAAGTCAGGGATGCCTGGGTGGCTCAGTGGGTTAAGAGTCTGTCTTCCACTCAGGTCATGTCCTAGAACCCAGTCCTGCATGGGGCTCCCTGCACAGCGGGGAGCCTGCTTCTCCCTCTGCCCGCCCCCCCCCCCCGCTTGTGCGAGCGCACGCTCTCTCTCTGACAAATCAAATCTTTAAAAAAAAAGAATTAGAAAAAGTCACATCAATAGATTAAATGATTTAATGCTTTGAATTAATTCTGAAATCAGTTCATGACAGAAGTAAAATAATTTGAAAGAAACTAAAATCCCATTATCCCCCTTACTTTTAAAATCATTCACCTAAAATTCTTGGTCCTTTTATTATAAATTAGAATAAAGTGCAAAGACACAACTCAAAATAAAACAAAAATTCCTAAGATAGCAAAGTCTCTGCTATTATCTATCTTCCTTCTGGTAAGGGGAAAGACAAGCAAGAAAATGATAAACAAGATGCATTCAGATAGTGTTAAGTGCTTCGAAGAAGATAAAATATGGGCATGTGATAGAGAATGTGGGGTGTTCAGGGAGGGCCTGAGGTGACATACGAAGAGAGATTTGAATGATGTGGGTGGGGGCAGCCATGCCAAGGACAGGGGAAGGGGAGGACAGTCTGGGCAGAAGAGCCTGCAGGTGGTTGAGTCCCCAGGGGCTCAGTGTGGATAAACAGAGTGAACAGCAAGAAGAGTGGTAAAAAAGATAACGTCAGCAAGGAAGGCAGGGGCTCATCTAGGGCTTGTAGGCTATGGCAGTTCAAAATTCGTAACCTAGATTCTGATCCACATGATGACCACAGAATGAGGACTTACTCTGAACAAGCTTATATTCACTCATCTCATACCACCCATGGGAAATCACCTACCCAGTAAACACACTGATCACCCACAATGTAAAAAGGCACAATTACAGAAGAACTTTTTAAAAGGGATGCCATGGAACCTTACTTGGGAATTTAAACAATGGTTTGTTCATCGTGATATTCAAGATAATGATTAAGAACATAAGATCACTTACGTTAATAAACTCCAAAATAACAGAGAATGTTGCCACTTCAACATTAAACTTATACTTCATGCAATACCATGGGAGCTCTTCTGTTAAGATCTTGCCACTCAGCTAATTTTGTGATAACCTTGAAAAGCTCTTTCGTGACTTAGTTCTAAGTGTAATAAGATTCCTGATCTTGTCTGGGTAAGATATTGTGAAGTACTGTGATGAAAAGCATAGTTTTTCAGCCCTATATCATCAACATGAATGTGAATGTGCTCAGTAACCACAAATACCCAACCCACATAAAATGGCACTCACGATGTTTTCTAGTCACAATAATTACCCTTCATTTTGTAGGAAGAAAACAGAGGGGAGGACACCAAGATTTAGCATGGCTGCAAGAGGTATGCTTAATGCTCGTGATAGTCCTACGGGGTATTATCTCCAAGTGCAATGAGTTAGGTAACTTGATCAAGGCCATAGGGTTTGTACCCAACTCCAAAGCTCATGCTCTTTCTAAATTAATCCTTAAAGCCTCCTGACTGATAGAAGCTGGTTAATTACCCGCATTAACTTATTCGACATGCACCTCTTAAGCTCTTGAAAAGCCTGTTTAATACCGGACTTAGGAAAAAAGAACAAATTTCTCCAAAGATAGCTTGTGCTGTTTTACTGTTCAAAACAGCTTCTCTGAAAAAGAGAGATATCACCATCTAGAAACGGAATTTTTTTTTTTTAATGTGACAAGAGAAGTATATTTTGACTAACCTGAAGTCTGAAGGCATGGCAACCCAGAAGGTGGGTTAAACTGGCAGGCAGATGTTACTGGCAAACATATGAGGGTGTGGACAGGGGGGTCTCAAAACCGTCCAGCCTTGTCTTAAAGAAAACGAACGTGCTCATAAACAAAGTGTGAAAATCAGCCCATCTTGTTTCTGCTCCTCCACAGGCAGCAGATGGCATAACTAGTCGTATATGCTGACCCACAAGAGCTTCCAGGAAGGGAGCTTTGAGCTGGGGAGCAGGTTCTGAGCTGCCTACTCTACTGCTGCCTCCAACACAGAGATCCCTGTCAGCAGGCTTCCAGGAGAAACTTAGAAAATGACAGTGAAATTCAAGGGGGGGGAAACCCAAGAACCAAAAAACAAAACACTTGCATAAGCATTTTATTCAAACCCACATAAGGATTCACTCAGTTCTTGTTTACTTTGTTAATTCCTAGAATTACTTCATCAATAGTGGTTTTGGATGGAGGTCTTTCCCCCATTCAATATTTTTGACATGCTTGTACGAAAAACTTGTTAAAAACAAACAAAAAAACCACCCCTCATAGTCAACAGAATTGTCTATTTTCCTCAAGAGTCATTTGGGAAATGACTTGATTAATCATGTATAATTTTTCAGGTGACACTTGCATAAGAGCAGAGCAGACTTAAAGACTTTTTTTAAATCACACAACTTAAGAGGAATCCAAGCTTCGCCTGTTCACGTCCCGCTTCGATCCAGGGGTTATTTGGCTGAACTGTTTTCCTGTTTCAACAACTTGAACACCAAGCAGTGGGACAAACAGGGCGGCCAGCTGAGGGCCCGCCCCCCACACCCCCGCCCCCGCTGCGCAGACGGGAAATCTCCGCAGCCAACTGCCCCACTCCTCATCTCAGCCCCAAGTGGCCCCGAAACTACCCTGGTGTGGGGCTCTAAGTCTCATCGCTCTGTCGTCAACGAGCTCCCCGTTTGGGGACCCTCCCCGCGAGTGGGGTCTGTGCCGAAGCTGGGGGCACGGTGGGGGAGCGAGGGCACGCTCGGGTCCTCGGCGAGCCCTTCCCCGGGGCGCGCT